AGGAAGTCAGGGGTTTATGGCAGTATTGGCAGGAGACAGTGCCCTTGGATGGAAGATGCTTCCAGAGGAGGTGTGGGTATATTTAACAATGGGCAGTATTGGAATAACAATGGGCTTATTGGCAGGAGAGGGGTGTAAGGTTTAACAATGGGCAGTATGGCAGGCAGGAGAAGAGTGTGGGGTATAACAATGGGCAGTATTGGCAGATTGAGAAAGTGTGGGGTGACATCCACAGGTGTTTTCAATAGGGGTGATATAACAATGGGCAGTATGTGCAGGAGAGGTGGAGTGTGGGGTATAACAATGGGCAGTATTGGCAGGAGAGGAGTGTGGGGTATAAACAATGGCAGTATTGGCAGGAGACTGTATAAACAATGGGCAGTATTGGCAGGAGAGGAGTGGGTGTTACAACGGTCCTTAACAATGGGCATTATTGGCAGGAGAGGAGTGTGGGGTATAAAAACAATGGGCAGTTATTTGGCAGGAAGAAGATGTGGGGAGGCAGTATGTCCAGAGAGGAAATGGAGGTAGTGGTATAACAATGGGCAGTAGAGTTGTTGGGCAGTAGAGGAGTGTGTGGGGTAAAACAATGGGCAGTATTGGCAGGAGAGGAGAGTGAAAGGATGGTCAGTAGAATGTGTTATCACAGGAGTGTGCAAGTATAACAATGGGCAGTATTGGCAGGAGAGGAATGTGGGGTATACCAATGGGCAGTATTGCAGGAGAGGAGTGTGGGGTATAACAATGGGCAGTATTGGCAGGAGAGGAGTGTGGGGTATAACAATGGGCAGTATTGGCAGGAGAGGAGTGTGGGGTATAACAATGGGCAGTATTGGCAGGAGAGGAGTGTGGGGTATAACAATGGGCAGTATTGGCAGGAGAGGAGTGTGGGGTATAACAATGGGCAGTATTGGCAGGAGAGGAGTGTGGGGTATAACAATGGGCAGTATTGGCAGGGAGAGGAGTGTGGGGTATAACAATGGGCAGTATTGGCAGGAGAGGAGTGTGAAGGGGATAACAATGGGCAGTATTGGCAGGAGAGGAGTGTGAGGTATAACAATGGGCAGTATTGGCAGGAGAGGAGTGTGGGGTATAACAACGGGGGCAGTATTGGCAGGAGAGGGGTGTGTGGGTATAACAATGGGCAGTATTGGCAGGAGAGGAGTGTGGGGTATAACAATGGGCAGTATTGGCAGGAGAGGAGTGTGGGGTATAACAATGGGGAGTATTATGGCAGGAGAGGAGTGTGGGGTATAACAGGAAATTATGGACAGGAGAGGAGTGTGGGGTATAACAGGAAATTATGGACAGGAGAGGAGTGTGGGGTATAACAGGAAATTATGGACAGGAGAGGAGTGTGGGGTATAACAGGAAATTATGGACAGGGAGAGGAGTGTGGGGTATAACAGAAGGAAATTATGGACAGGAGAGGAGTGTGGGGTATAACAGGAAATTATGGACAGGAGAGGAGTGCGGAGGATATACAGAGGGAATTAGGGCAGGAGAGGAGTGCGGAGGATATAACAGAGGGAATTAGGGAAGGAGAGGAGTCAGACATATTACTCCCCTTCAGGGGCGGACTGACAACTCATGGGGCCCCCAGGCAATAGGGGATCATGGGGCCCCTGTGTCCTTGCCCAAACTCAAAAAAGCCTATGAAAAAGGTACCAGGGGCATCTCATGGGGCTCCCTACTGACCCCGGGCCCTCGGGCAGTGCGAGTTTCCAAATGGTCAGTCCGCCCCTGCTCCCCATTCATGCAGACATACTGTATGTGTGCAGTTTGTATATGGAAGCCATGGATGGGCCGCTATACGTTTCTTGCATTTGCTAAATAAAGAATCTAGGAAAGGAGTAGCATCTTCAGCGCACTGTGTGACTCTTTGTATACCCAACAATGGGTGCTGGTGGGTTTCTCTAGGGCAGGGGGTGTCAAATTCAATTTTGCGGCATCAGCATTATGGTTGCCCTCAAAGGGCCAGTTGTGTCTGTAAGACTAGATGTCCAGAGCAGAAAGTGCAGGGTCTGGAGGAGGACCAGAGGAAGTCTGGAGTCAGCTGCCAGAGTCTGCTGAAAGTTTAGACCAGGGGAGGCAGAGATGAGGGGGGTGCTGCATGTGCATAGAGAGGTGCAGGATCTGTAGGAGGAGTTCTGTCCTCCTCTCTGCTGCTGACTGCTGAGACAGGGGGGGTCAGAGACGAGCCTATCCACAGCTCTACGGAGAAGCACAGGATTTCTGTCCTCCTCTCTGCTGTCAATTGCTGAGACAAGGGGTGGTAGAGATGAGGTAGGTGCTGCAGATGCAGGAAAGATGCAAGAGCCACATGAAATGGCCTGGCATGCCGGATTTGGCCCGCGGGCCTTGTGTTTGACACACGTGCTTTAGGGTATTGCTAGATCCTATATTTGCTTCACACAGAAAGTTCAGGGTCTGGAGGAGGACCAGAGGAAGTGTGGAGACAGCTGCCAGAGTCTGCTGAAAGTTGAGACCAGTGGAGGCAGAGACAAGGGGGTGCTGCGGCTGCATAAAGAGTTGCAGGATCTGTAGGAGGAGTTCTGTCCTCCTCTCTGCTGTCAACTGCTGGGACAAGGGGGGGGGGATAGAGACCAGGGGGTGCTGCAGATGCAGGAGAGGTGCAAGGGCCACATGAAATGGCCTGGCAAGCCGGATTCGGCCCACGGGCCTTGTGTTTGACACAAGTGCTCTAGGGTATTGCTAGATCCTATATTTGCTTCACACAGAAAGTGCAGGGTCTGGAGGAGGACCAGAGGAAGTGTAGAGTCAGCTGCCAGAGTCAGCTGAAAGTTGAGACCAGGGGAGGCAGAGACGAGGGGTTGCTGCGGCTGCATAGAGAGGTTCAGGAACTCGAGGAGGAGTTCTGTCCTCCTCTCTGCTGTTGACTGCTGAGACATGGGGGTCAGAGATGAGCCTATCCACAGCACCATGGAGAAACGCAGGATCTGGTGGAGGAGTTCTGTCCACCTCTCTGCTGTCAACTGCTGAGACAAGGGGGGGGGGGGGGAGTAGAGACCAGGGGGTGCTGTGGCTGCATAGAGAGATTCAGGAACTCTAGGAGGAGTTCTGTCCTCCTCTCTGCTGTCGACTGCTGAGACAGGGGGGTCAGAGATGAGCCTATCCACAGCACCATGGAGAAGTGCAGGATCTGGTGGAGGAGTTCTGTCCTCCTCTCTGCTGTCAACTGCTGAGACAAGGGGGGGGTTGAGACCAGGGGGTGCTGCAGATGCAGGAGAGGTGCAAGGGCCACATGAGATGGCCTGGCAAGCCGGATTCGGCCCACGGGCCTTGTGTTTGACACAAGTGCTCTAGGGTATTGCTAGATCCTATATTTGCTTCACACAGAAAGTGCAGGGTCTGGAGGAGGACCAGAGGAACTCTGGAGTCAGCTGCCAGAGTCAGCTGAAAGTTGAGACCAGTGGAGGCAGAGACCAGGGGGTGCTGCGGCTGCATAGAGAGGTTCAGGAACTCTAGGAGGAGTTCTGTTCTCCTCTCTGCTGCTGACTGCTGAGACAGCAGGGTCAGAGATGAGCCTATCCACAGCACCATGGAGAAGTGCAGGATCTGGTGGAGGAGTTCTGTCCTCCTCTCTGCTGTCAACTGCTGAAACAAGGGGTGGTAGAGACATGGGGGGTGCTGCAGATGCAGGATAGATGCAAGGGCCACATAGAATGGCCTGGCAAGCCGTATTTGGCCAGCAGGCCTTGTGTTTGACACACATGCTCTAGGGTATTGCTAGATCCTGTGTTTTCTTCACACCACAGAGGAAAAGTAATCAGGACTCATTAACTTTTGCTGGCTAAACTATAAACCCCATTGGATGCTGCGGGGCCACGGGCCTGAGCTTCCCCCTTCCTGCAGCTTCTACCCATGGATCTCTATCAGTTATGAAGGATATAGCAAATCCTACAACACCATCACACTGCTACAGTAGAAGGGTTAAATCCATTAGGACACGAGAAACAAAGAAAGAGTTCTCCATATGTTTGCATTTTTGTGGTGTGTTTGTATCTCATTTGGGATCTGTAGGAATCTCCAGAGCTGGCTGGGCTTTATCTGGAGGAATTGGGTGGAGGAGGAGCCTAGATTTGGCCATGATTGCCAAGACAGAGAACATAGCCCACACTAGTCTTAGGGAAAGCCATTGCGGTATTTGATGAGTTATCTCGAGTCCAAAACTGCACAGTGGCTTCCCAGGATGTGAACTGACTGGATTTCATTCAGCTGATCCCATGGTGGATATGCACGTCCAAGTTACTATCCATACATCTTGTGATTTATTGTTCCATAAACCTATGTAGTATGGTCCAGCATCTCTCAACCTTTTTACATGAAGGAACCCTTGAAACAACTTTCTTGTCTCAGGGAATCCCTGTAAATTGCTGCATCTAGAGCTTACTGTACATTAGTATGATGGTCAGCGGGAAGAATGCTCCTTACATTGGTGGACAGCAGAAAGAATGCCCCTTACATTGGTGGTCAGTAGGAAGAATGCCCCTTAAATTGGTGGTCAGTAGGAAGAATGCCCCTTAAATTGGTGGTCAGTAGGAAGAATGCCCTTAAATTGGTGGTTAGTAGGAAGAATGCCCTTAAATTGGTGGTCAGTGAGCAGTATACTCCTTGTATTGGTGGCCAGTGGGAAGAATTCTCCTTACATTGTTGGTCAATTTGAAGAATGTCCCTTACAATGGTGTTCAGTGGGAATAATGCTTCTTAAATTGGTGGTTAGTGGGAAGAATGCCCCTTAAATTGGTGGTCAGTGAGCAGAATACTCCTTACATTGGTGGTCAGCAGGAAGAATGCTCCTCACATTAGTGGACAGCGGAAAGAATGTCCCTTACATTATTGGTCAATGGGAAGAATGTCCCTTACAATGGTGGTCAGTGAGCAGTATACTCCTTACATTGGTGGTTAATGGGAAGAGTGCTCCTTACATTGGTGGTCAGTGGGAAGAATGCTACTTACATTGGTGGTCAGTGGGAAGAATGCTCCTTACATTGGTGGTCAGTGGGAAGAATGCTACTTACATTGGTGGTCAGAGGGAAGAATGCTCCTTACATTGGTGGTCAGTGGGAAGAATGTCCCTTACATTGGTGGTCAGTGGGAAGAATGTCCCTTACATTGGGGGTCAGTGGGAAGAATGTCCCTTACATGGGGGTCAGTGGGAAGAATGTCCCTTATATTGGTGGTCAGTGGGAAGAATGTCCCTTACATTGGTGATCAGTGGGAAGATTGTCCCTTACATTGGTGATCAGTGGGAAGAATGCTCCTTACATTGGGGGTCAGTGGGAAGAGTGTCCCTTACATTGGGGGTCAGTGGGAAGAATGTCCCTTATATTGGTGGTCAGTGGGAAGAATGTCCCTTACATTGGTGATCAGTGGGAAGAATGTCCCTTACATTGGTGGTCAGAGGGAAGAATGCTCCTTACATTGGTGGTCAGTGGGAAGAATGCTACTTACATTGGTGGTCAGAGGGAAGAATGCTCCTTACATTGGTGGTCAGTGGGAAGAATGTCCCTTACATTGGTGGTCAGTGGGAAGAATGTCGCTTACATTGGGGGTCAGTGGGAAGAGTGTCCCTTACATTGGGGGTCAGTGGGAAGAGTGTCCCTTATATTGGTGGTCAGTGGGAAGAATGTCCCTTACATTGATGGTCAGTGGGAAGAATGTCCCTTACATTGGGGTCAGTGGGAAGAATGTCCCTTACATTGGTGATCAGTGGAAGAATGTCCCTTACATTGGTGGTCAGTGGGAAGAATGTCCCTTACATTGGTGGCCAGTGGGAAGAATGCTCCTTACATTGGTGATAAGTGGGAAGAATGTCCCTTACGTAGATGGTCAGTGGGAAGAATGTCCCTTACATTGGTGGTCAGTGGGAAGAATGTGCCCCACATGTGTGGTGAGTGGGATAAATCCCCCTCTTTCAGATAATTAAAACTTTATTGGTGTCAAGGGGATCAAATCTGAGAGGCAAACATAACTCCTTGATCATGGAACGGCTAGCAACCTCTGGAGGAACCCTAGGGTTCCAGAGAACCTTGGTTGAGAGAGGCATATACAGATGTTGAGACACATTGTGTAGTCAGCAGGGGCGAACTGACCATTCGAGCACTCGCCACTGCCCGGGGGCCCGGGGTCAGTAGGGGGCCCCATGAAATGCCCCTGGTACCTTTTATAGGCTTTTTTTGGGTGTGCTTTGAGTGTGGGTGAGGACACAGGGGCCCCAGGATCCCCTATTGCCCGGGAGCCACATGAGTTGTCAGTCTGCCCCTGGTAGTCAGAGGACTTTAATTACCTGAATTGGAAGTCATGACTGTGCCTCTTCATAATGATAGTTCCTCCTACTGCTAATTGTATTCACATCCTACACAGAAGTACAGCAGTCCTTGAAGTTTTCTCTAGTTTTTCCAGATAGGGATGTAGATTTTTTACAGTAAAGCGAAATATCACCCAAAAGAGAAAGTTCTGCTTTTTTGCCCCCCCCCCCCATTCATCACTTTTGGCCAGTTTTGTTTTGGAGGGGGAGTGGCTACCTGGCCTTGACAGGTACCTGCTCCCATGTCCACTTGGACCACACCCGTCACAGGGCCCAGAAGGCTGCGCGACCATTTACAAAGCACAGCTAGCTGCAAGAAGTCACGGCCGGCTTCCCTTAGTAAAGATGCCGGTACCAGGGACCTGAAGACAAAGAGCCGTCAGGCGGAGGACCGATGCTGGATCCCTGGACCCCTGGATCAATTTTCTTTTTAAAGTCAGCAGCTGCAGTATTGGTAACTGATGACTTTTAATTTTTTAGGGGGGTGCTGAAGAACCTCTAAAAGATGTGTCCATGAGTAGGCAAAGGTCAATGAAGCAATGGATTCCTTGCTAATTCATTGATCCTGGACATATTTGACTTTTCACACCATAACGGCTTTTAAGTCCCTAAACCATTTAATTGTACTGAGGAGGGGGGGGATCTGTGGGCCCCGAAACATTGGACATTTGCTGTGCTTTCTGTGGTAATTTACTGAACCGATAAATCATTGTTGGATTGTTTGCTTGGTGCTCTTTTTGGTGCATCTATATTTGAATTATTCAGTTTGGGTGAGCTCCTACTTCTGAGGGGTCTCCATGTTGTGGAGAGCCATCGAAACCAAGCCAATTGGCTCCACTAAGAACTTCATTTCTAATGGCAGGTGCCTCACCCCCATCTCGTCTTCAAAGGTGTAACTAGGGAGGGGACAGCTGCTCATAAAAGACATTATATCTGATGTAAAAAATGGAAGACTTATAATTTGTGTATTATATTTTACAGAATGTTACGGTATTGGGTAATATGAGATGCAAAAGTGAGATGTAATGAGGAGAGTTGTTGCAGATTGTCTAAAATACTTCTGGAGAGTTGCTATCATAGACCTTTTGCCTAGGGTGCAAAAATACCTATCTGCGCCTATGAGCCTAGGGTTTTATTTGTTGTGTTTATGCTGTATAACTTGACAAGGTCATGTGTATGCTGTTATGCAATCACTAACAATCAACCTAAGTGTCATTTCACAAGTGCAGGTATGGGAGTGAAAACAACCAAATGAACGCAGAATCTCTCCTGTGTCTGATAGTAACTCATAGCTGAGCCGCCTGTGATGCTAGACAACTCCTTGTCTGATCTCTTAGACAGTCTTGCCTTGTACCTTGTTTCCTGTAAACCTTGAACTCTTTGCTCCTCCCATTAATTTCCTATTTAAGCCATGCCTTCACACTTTTTGTTTGCCAGATTATTGTGTTCTCTCCAGCCAATATCTTGCTTCTTTGCGTATCTTAATTTCCATATGTCATCAACCTTTTGCTTGTTCCTCAACTATGCTTCCGCTTGATTTCAACCTGCAATTGTTTGCCACTGACCTTGGCTTGTTTCTCAACTATGCTTCCACTTGATTCCAACCTGCAATCATTTGTTACCGACCTTGGCTTGCTTCTCAACTATGCTTCCACATGATCCCAGCCTGCAACCATGTGTTACCAACTTTGGCTTGTTCCTCAACTACGCTTCTGCTTGATCCCAACCTGCAACCACTTGTTACCGATCTTGGCCTGTTCCTCAACTATGCTTCTGAATAATCCCAACCTGCACCCACTTGTTTACCGACCTTGGCTTGTTCCACAGCTATGCTTCCTGCTTGATCCCAACCTGCAACCACTTGGTACAGACCATGGCTTTTTCCTCAACTACACTTCCCGCTTGATCCCAGCCTGCAACCACTTGTTACCAACCGTGGCTTGTTCCTCAACTATGCTTCCAAATTATCCTAACCTGCAACCACTTGTTACCGACCTTGGCTTGTTCCCCAACTATGCTTCCAAATTATCCCAACCTGCAACCATTTGTTACCGACTTTAGCTTGTTCTTCAACTACGCTTCTGCTTGATCCCAACCTGCAACCACTTGTTACTGACCTTGGCTTGTTCCTCAACTATGCTTCCGAATGATCCCAACCTGCAACCACTTGTTACTGAGCTTGGCTTGTTCCTCAACTATGCTTCTGAATGATCCCAACCTGCAACCACTTGTTACTGACCTTGGATTGTTCCTCAACTATGCTTCCCACTTGATCCCAACCTGCAACCACTTGTTACCGACCTTGGCTTGTTCCATCCACTATGCTTCCATTTGATCCCAAACTGCAACCACTTGTTACCAACCTTTTGCTTGTTACTAGCTATGCTTCTGCTTGATCGCTAACTGCTATATCTGCTACTGGACCCTGGCTTGCTCATCTCCTAGTGGGGTGATGCTGAGGACTGCAACCTGGTACTAACATGCACTAAAACCTCATCTCCACCATCAAGAGTTCTGGTGAACACAGGTTAGTGCGTAGACCCTACGCCTCAGGTAAGCCCACTGTTCCCTTCAGGGTAACCTGCTTGTGTACTTATCCTTCTGGTGGGTGGGAGCCTTTCTACTGCTATAGCTACTGGTCTCCGAGTCTGACCCCCTGATTGTGACACCATCTGTCTTTTGGTTGTAGAATCCCATGAAGACTTTTCCTGTAGCACCCCTGAGTCAGATGCTATGGTCAAGAACCCCAGTTAGGGGCCTACAGTAAAGACTATGCCATTAGTACACAATGAACAGCCCAGGGGCCAGGTTGCTAAGACAGTTCCTGCCTCAGGTGCCAACAATGCTTTGCAGAGAAGGAGCAGCAAAGCTCAAGCTCATCCGACTGGGTCTGTTATGTTTACAGGTTTTGCAGCACATCTTTGCTATTGGGGCTGATCAGGAGCAAACATCACTTTATTACACACAAGCAAGGACTTGCATTCTCAGTGGTTCCAGGCCTGGTCCTTAGGCCCAGCGACCTGTATAGTAGCCCAAACATCCTAGTGAGCGCGAACCTATCTGACCACTAAACTACCAAAACTGCCATCTCCAGACCACCACCAACTCCTGACCTGACAGGACTGCTAAATACACTTCCCGGGTATAGGCTACGCATCTCACCTTCAAGAGACCCAAGACATTCTCTGCATTAATGTCACAGAGGTAGAATTACGATATAACCTCCATGAAGTGGTCCTTAAAGAGGTAGAAATGGCCCACCAACACTATGCAGGAGGGAGTGCTGTGGTGCTCACCTTATCACAAGCTTTCCCCAGGTGTAACATCTTTATGCCTCATGGCAATCCCACCTTTTCCCTGACTACCCCCAAGGGGGAGGGCACCCATTCTATACCCCATTCAGGGACAACTATTCCTCCCAGTGGTGTATTTAGATTTTCTGCTGCCCTAGGCAACACAAAAATTTTGCACCCTCCCCCCACAATGAGAGAACGAGAGAGTCAATAAGTGTGTGTATGTATATATGATTCTCTTTCTTTTACTCTCTCTATTCCCCTCTCTCTCTTCCCCCCTCTCTCTCACCTCTCTTCTTCATCCCTCCTCCCTTATCGAGAACCTCTCTCCCCACTCTTCCTCTCTTCCTTCCCCCCTCTTCCCCCTCTCTTCCCCCTCCCTCTCTCTTCTCCCCTCTCTCCTCTTCCCCTCCTCTCCCCCCTCTCTTCCCTCTCTTCTCGTTCTCTCTTTTCCCTCTCTCCCCCCCCCTCTCTTCCTCTCTCTCTCCTCCCTCTACCCCCCCTCTCTCCCCCCCCCCCTCTCTCTTCCCCCTCTCTCTCCCTACTTCCTCTCTCTCTCCCCCCTCTCTCTCTTCCCTCTCTTTTCCCTCTCTCCCCCTCTCTCTTCCCTCTCTCCCCCCTCTCTCTCCCCACTCTCTTCCCTCCCTCTCTCTTCCCTCTCTCTCATTCCCCTTCCCCCTCTCTTCCCCCTCTCTTCCCTCCCTCTCTCTTCCCCTCTCTCTCTATTCTCTTTCCTCTTCTTCCCTCTCTCTCTCTTATTCCCTCTCTATTCCCTCTCTCCCCCCTCTCCTCCCTCCCGCTCTCTCTCTTCCCTCTCTCTATATTCCCTCTCTCTCCCTCTCTTCCCTCTACCTACCCCCCCCCCTCTCACCCCACCCCCTTTCTCCCCCCCTCTCCCCCCCACTTTCCCCCTCCCTTCTTCTCTCTTCCCCCTCTCTTTCCCTCTCTCTCTCTTCTCCTCTCCTCCCCTCTCTCTCTTTCCTCCCTCTCAGATCGTATGGGCTGCACACACACACACCTGCACCATGGGCTGCTGATCTCCGGGCAGCAGGAAGGAGGGGGGAGGTGTGTGCAGCCCCATACGATCTGTCAGTGTAGGGATGGGGGCAGGGAGAT